CTAGTTGAGAGAAACAAAGAAAATTACAATATTTTACCTTTTTTTCTCATAAAGAACAACACACAAACGTGGAGAGCTGCATATGCAATGATACAATTACAAGGAAGAGATAAATGACAATCTTATTTCAAAGACAAAGGAATCTAGTTCATTTGATGTGCAATTTCGTCCGAGCACTCCTCAGTCACATTAGAACTTGGATTGAAGGTACTGAATCACCTTCTTGTCCAACATGAATGCCTTTGTCAGAACATCAGGACTGATGTCCGGCTTTGAGCCAAAGAGTGAATTTGCAATGGTGATGACTCCTGGATTTTGGCTGCTCAGACCGGCTATGGCAACAGCTGGAGTGTCCCCAATGTTGAGCTGGAAATGAATCAGACCAATCGGGAAAACGAAAACATCTCCCTTGTATAAGACTTTGATGAAGAGACGGTTACCATCCTGGTCGGATGAGACAAAACCTACCAAGAGTGTGCCTTCAAGCACTGTTAGGACCTCAGTTCCACGAGGATGAGTGTGAGGCGGATTTAAACCACCTTTTGGTGCATAGTCAAGACGGACTATTGATATGCCAAGAGTGTTAAGTCCTGGAAGCTGGTCCTCAAATACTGGGGTGACAGCAAATCCTACCGCATTTGATGTGTTACCCGCTTTGTTTAGTCCAGAAAAGAAGAAGTCATCTGCTTTGACAAACTTAGGATTCTTACAGAACTTTCCATTCACAAACACTGCATGGAAAAAAAAGGAGTCATACTTCATATGGAACTATTGTAATGAACAACTAACAGAAATTCATGAAAAATTAATCAAATCTGATATAACTGAATGCTTACCACCATCTGTGATGTTATTGATCCCTACACAGAAGTCCTGAAGAGGACTAGGGTCATAAGCTGAGGCCAATGTAGAGGCCAAAGCCAAAAGGACAAAAACAAGAGGAAAATTCTTAGCGTTTCTCATTTGGAAAGCAATAGCTATATTAGCCTCTGTAGTTCAATGCCACATAACGGACAATTTATAAGCGGTGTGTCAATGATCAAGGACATCATTTTTTATATTCCTTTATTCAAATAAAGCAAAGACTTTATTCTATGTCTTCAATGATTATCCTTATATTTTTTTAATGAAAGTTGACATGAAACTTTCATAAGATATCGTGCTGCGCAACTAATCCTACTCGGCTGGATTAATCATTAATTAAATGCAGTTAAGAGAAGTTGACTTACTCTTTGCAGCTCTATGTATATCTCCTCTTCCTAAATTCAAGAAATGCTAATGAATATGCTTGATTCTCTGATATCTTAATTCAATAATTAAAACGCTTTTAAACTAATGACGCATTTTTTCCAATTTTGTGTTTTGTCCTCTTCTCTTGTTCATATTTTATAAATAAGGAGTTGTTCTAACTGCTAAACTTCACATGGGATTCATAAAACGAAGAAGGAAAGAAAAAAATAGTAGTGGCAACCTGTAAGGGTACTAACGGGTCACACGGAAATTGTCCCCTCATGGTGGTTGGTTAGAAGTATGATGAGCCACTGAGTTTTCAAATGCTGGGATAGGTGAGAAGGGGGATTGGGAAAAGGGAGGATTATCTTTTTATATATATATATATATATATATATTATTATTTAATAAAGAGGTTACACGAAAATATATTAGAAACACATAATTTGACTGATAATATATATTTTGGTTTATAGTTATATTTTTAAATAATTAATTATAATTTTTAAAAACATATATTTATAAATTAATTTTAATATATCAAATAATAAATATCAACTTAATTATATCCTTAATAGCCAATCTAAGATGAAAATTGAAAGTTTATGTGCCCCTAACATATTTCGGTGAGGCGATAACCACAACCGGCACCAACTACTAACTATATTGTGGACTTTGCTTAAACAACTGCAAGAGATAATGAATACGATTCCGAAGTCTGATAATGATATTCAAACGAGCTTCAAACAAGGATAAAAAACTATAACAGACAAGTCTGGGTTTTTTTTCAACACCTAACCTTAAAAAAAAGGCACAACGCCAAAAATGTTTTGCACGTATATAGGGTAGGAAAGATGCTAGATTAACAAGTACAATTAAAACAACTCAGCTGCATTTTTTCTTTATTTATTAAAACTATTTCAATATATATATATATATATATATATCAAATCTCCTGCGCCTCTTTCTCTTTGCTAAGGTTAGCTAGGTTAGGGGTTGTGGACGGGGACGGAGCTAGGAAATTCTATTGGGATATAAAATTTATTATTAAAGATTTGAGTCTTTAATAGTATTTTTTATGACATTAATTTATTTTTTTTTAATTTTCTTTCTTTTTTTTTTCATTGATACATTCTTGACAAAATTTAAAAATAAATATATTTGTTATAACAAAAAATAAAATATCACAATAGCAAATCAAACAATGATCAATTGAAGAATGAATAGAAAAAGAGAATGATTTTTTTAATTTGTATCCTAAAAGATATAATTAATGTACCTTTTTATAATTAATTTTGCATGAAAAAGTAAATATTGACTTTAAATTAATAAATTAATTGATTAAAATCATCAATGTATTAATAATGTTAAAATAAATATCAATTTTTATAATTTTTTATGTAAATTAATTATAAAAAATACATTTATTGCACCTTTAACTTGTATCCTTAGGACACAAGTTACACAAAGTCAAAAGATAAATGTAATTGTTAGTTGAATTTCCAAAAAATTAAAAAGAAAAACACTACAAAATTGGATGATGATACGTGCAACTCCGACACCGGTTGGACACATTTAATAAAATATTAGTTTTCTATGGGTTTAGAGTAAGGTCGAAATAGCTTACTCCGCTGCCATTCATTTAGTCATTCTTTATTCACGTTTCCAAACAGACTGTAAGAAAGTCTTACTGTTAACCTCAAAATATAATTTGCCTTACCTTTCTCGAACGCCTTAGCCTTACCTTTCTCGAAAGCCTTAGCCTTACCTTTGGTTCACCATTCTCAAGTTTTAGCCTTACCTCTGGTTCACCATTCTCAAGTTTTAGTCTCCGAATTTTGACATTCACATGCTTAGAACACAATATTTTTAGTCTCCACGGGATAGGAATTGACCTCAATTAATCAAGGCAAAATGAGAACAACAAAAAAGAAATATTAATCTAAACCTGAACTTTGTCACCTTCATAAACTAAATTCAAGAAACTGAGCTCAGCAAACTGCATTGAAGAAACTGAACTCAAGAAACCTATCATTTTCTTAGAAATTCAAGGGACGCAAACCTAAATGCATGAACTTCTAAAGTAAAAATGTCCCTAACCTGTGAAAAGAAGTATTTTTATATGGTTTAATCTATTACTTTAGCCTTGATTTTATTATCATTCGCAAGGATAATATGTGATTCTCAATAAATTTTACATTGTTTCATTCTTTGTGTAGAAAATGACTTCAATGCATAATAATAGGAGTTTTGGGATTAACTGAATATCTTTTGAAAGTTAAGGGACTAATTGCAAGAAGAAAGGTGAAGAAAGGTGATTTTTGGGACCTACATGAATGAATCTTAAGTTATGGGATCAAAGTGCTCATCAATAAAATCTGGAGGACCATATCTGCTATTTTACCATTAAAAAATTACAACCGGCACAGGCGTGGTGTACACGTAACTCATGGTATCAGCACCACGCATTAAGCGTCCAAATTTGAAGTCTTTTGTTTTGTCTCAAGTTCTACTTCTTTTTTAATAGGGTTTTTTAAACTTTATAAATACTCATTTAAAAATTAGAGTTGGGCTTTTGGGAGGAGACCAAGGAAGATAACCAAGAGGAATTCAACAATAAAAGAAGATTAAGGTTTGAGATTTTATATTGTCAAGCTAGTTTTGCTTGTCTTTGAATTTTATTTTATAATGTTGGATACTCGTATATTAATTATGGGATTATTGATTTTCTATTCTTTAATTACGAACTGATTTAGTCATCTAAGGTTGTGATGTAACGTGATCAATTTGATATAGAATTTCATGATTTTTATACTTTCAAGTTTTATTATTTTATGTAAAGTATATATTAATGTTCTTAATATTTTTTACTAATTGGCCACTATTAAAACTAATTTGGAGAGTATAATTTAGACCGAGAGTAAATTTTATGCAATAGCTTTTAGTCATATATATCATGAATAGAACAAAAGTTCGAGATGGATTAACATGATTCATACAGTATTAATAATAAGTAAACTTAATTTTCTACATAAATTAGGAAATTTTATAGATTATAATGCATCTTTATCTATTTAAATTCACATAGAGATATAGTGGATTGATAGAATAAAATAGGTTTGGTAGAACTTGAGAAAATATATCAAATAGAATAAGAAATCTTGTTATCACATGAATAATAAATATTTTGAAAGTATATTAATCTAAATTCTATATTGATTGATAATAGTGAAATTGAATACCTTAGAATTTTAACTCTTGGTGAAATCGAATGATTATTGTTTTACTTTAATTGTTTTAGTTACTTACTTTATTCAAATAATTTAATTTTAATTGTTTAAATAAAATTAGAAATAGTTAATTTTGATACTTAATTAATTTACAGTTTCTATGAGACGATATTCTATTTTTATCATTATATTACTTGAATTGACTAATACTCTTGTTAAAGTGAATTTAACTCATCAACCCACAAATGCAATTCAATGATGCATACCCAAATTACACTCCAGCCCTTAGGACTTGATACCCAAATCATCTATATATGCCATAATAACATGATTGGATTCAATCAGGATAGACTCCCGAATTTCCCTTCACATTCACTGTGAAAGCTACCATCCACTCAATCGGGCATAGCTTTAGAGGTCTAATCAAACTGATTGAGGTTACAGCCTCGACTCAATTGCCTACAAAGTCATCCTCAGGCCTTTCATTCAACGAGATTGAAGGCTAGGGTTCACTAGAGGGCTAATTTCCAACACTATCAAGGTGAAGGAATGACTTCAAACTTTTTGTTCTAGATAAGCCAAGGATTAAGACTTATTGGGGATATATGTTTATTTTTTTGTTGAACCATGCATGTGTCAGTCAATGTGTGGGTTTATTGGGTGTATCTATCATTTCACATTTTTTATTTTATTAAAATAATGTAATTTTGAGATTTTTTTTTTATTGTTTTGGAGGTCATGTTAATAAGCATTAATATTATTAAAAAAATAACAGAATATTTTTTTATTTAGATCCTAAATATTTTCTTTACATTTAAAATGGTCTTTAAAATTCATAATATTAAGCCAACCGGGCCTGTGGTCCAATTGGTTGGCCTCCAAGCTTAAGGGCTTGGGTGAGGCGGAGGTCAGGGCTTCGAGCTCTGCCACCGCCGTGAACTCCACCAACTTGCGACTTAATGGTCGCGTGCCTCAAATGAGGGGGTGGAAGGTTCACTTTCTTGAAAAAATTCCAGCTGCTAACAAACTAACTCTACTAACTTCTTAACCATTTACCTGGTCAAAAAAAAAAAAAATTCATAATATTAAAACAAAATTTTTAACAAATAAAAATTAAAGTACAGTATTAAATATTTTTCAAAAGTTTAGAGGGCAGCTTCCCAACTTGTGACTTGTCCTTCGTTGGTTCCGTCCCTGGTTGTGGGTCTCTTCCCCTAGGATTTATCTTCACCGTCGGGGTTGCTCTCTTAATCTTTTTTATTCTTCTTTCTTTTCGTTTGTTTTCTTTTACTCCGTTTCTTCTTTGTTTCTTCTCTCGTTTTTAGTTTTATTTTTTTCTTCTTTCATTGTTTCTTGTTTTTGATCTACGATTAAGTCTTAGGAGTGGTTTTGTTTTATTTCTTAGTGTCATATAATTTCCTTTAGGTTTTATTTGTTTAGTGTTTTTCTCATCCCTGGTAAGTGTGCTGAAAAAATCATGCTTTTGGTTCATAAACTTTTGAATGGTTAAAAAAGAAGAAACAGAGCAGCGATGGAGCTTTTAAGGGGCAGGGGGCCATGGCCCCCTCTTCCAAAAATATATATATAAATTAAATATTTATAAAAAATATTATAAAATATCTTTTAAAAGATATTGTAATACCCCAAAAATTTGTGATATTTAAGTGTAAGTTAGGGACTTGTTTGAGAAAGAAATATTATTTGGAGCTTGATGGCCAACATTTTGAAAATTGAGAGACTTAAAAGGAAAAAAAATTTGGATAAGGATGACTTCTTTTCTTTTTCTTTTCCTTCTTTCTTTTCTTCCCAGCGTTGTCCGATTCTGCTCTGCTCTTCCCACTGCAGCCACCCGAAAGAAAAAAAAAAGAAGGAAACCCAGCCATGCCTTGGAAAATTGGTAAGGAAGCTTGGTATTTTCCCCTTCCTTTCTTGTTCTAGAACCCATAAAGAACCCAGAAATTTCCCCTCCCTCTCTGCAAAAACCGGATCTGCTCTGCTTTGCTCTGTCCGCCGGCTGCTCTTGTTGTGGGGGCGAATTGCTTGGGTTTTGGATCCGTGAGTTTCTCCCCTGCACTTGCCGCCGGCTTCTCCCCCTGCCAAGTCCGGTTCTGCAACTGGAAAATTTATGGTAGGTTGGCTTCTCTAATTCTCGAAAATTGGTTGATTAGTGGCTGCTTTGTGATGTCTGAATTTGGCTAGAAAATGGGGAGAAAATTGATAGTAATTAGACCATGATTTAGCTTAATTCAAGTGGGATTTATGTGATTGAGTGTTAATGGATTGCTGTGATTTTTGGAGAGAAAATCCCGTGAATTAGCTAGTGGTTTGGGCAATTTTTGGAAGTGCAGTTACTGTTCACGTTGTGGGTACTGTTCACGGCACTGCTCATAGATTACTGTTCACACACCGAGGGTCAACAATTAATGGGGATTTAAATGATTAGTTTGTGATATGAGAACGAATTTGGAGATATCTGATAATGTGGAGATTGATAGAAATAGTACCGTGATTAAGGGTAGTCTTAATGATGATTTCAATGTGAATTTGTGATAGTCCAGTATTAATTGTAAGGTGTTTTGATTAGGTTCCCGATCGTTCTGTCAGTTAGCACTGAGATTGAGTACTCGGTTTTATGCGAGTGAGGCAAGTAAATTTATGGTAATGACCGTACTGTTTTTAAAAGCATGTTTTGATTTGTTTTTGAAGTGGTGGCGGGACTAAACCCGTTTTACACGAGCATGACTGATTTGAAGTGAAATGTTTATGTTTTTCATTAAATTGAGCATGCCTACTTGAAAGTGATTGTGAATTGTCCTGATGATTTGAAAGTGATAGTGAATTATGATTTTTCTGTTAACTTCTGCCTGTTTTATCTCCGATGTGGTCATGTTATTAGTGACCCTGCTAGTGGGGGAGGTTATAAACGCTAGCACATGTCGACATGTTAGTGATAGAGCCGGTTCGTTCAGTGGCCTTGCTAGTGGGGATTATACACTAGTAAATCGTGTGCCTGCCAGTGGGAGGTTTATAAACGCTGGCCATAACCTATAGAGGAGACGTCTATTTCGTTTCCATACCCGTATCTGTTTTTCGTGATTATACTTGTTGGCATGCTATAAGTTTAAATAAGGGGCACTCCATATTTACTTACTGAGTTTATCTCATAGTTTTTCCTTGTCCACCATTTTAGGAAATGAAACCGAGGACAGGAAAACCACGGGAAGTGACGAGTTAGAAAGCTAGCCATTTCGAGATTGATATAGATTTTAGAAATAGATCATGATCTTGTAAACTGGATTTTTATTGGAGATTTTATAAATTCATTAAATGGATTTTTAGTTACAAGAGATTTGACCTTGAGTTACAAGATTTCATTTGGAGATTTTGGTGGTATCAGATTGTACATTAGATAAGTTCCGAGCCTTGTGCATTTGTGGGACTCGTCTCACGAGTGCACGGCGTTTGCCACGTCTCCAAATTTGGGTTTTGGGGCGTGACAGATATACTAAACATGTCAAGACCTAATATTTTAATTTATTTATTAATAATTTAAATAATTTAGTGATAATTTTTTTTTGTTAAACGTAAGATATTTTAATTTTAAGTTGTATAATATGTAGGTGGGGTGGAGTGGGTTGGGAGGGGGTGAAATAAGATATGGAAAAAAATTACAATCCATTATATAATTAAGATAAAAAAATATACTTTAATTCATTTAAATAGATAAATGAAAGCCTAATCCAAACTCAACCCCAATTCAATATTTATTTAAAATCAACTCATAAATAGCATTTATACTTCTTTTAGGATTGATTATCAAAGTAAAATATATAAAATATAGAAAATGTCAAAGCAACCCAACTACTCATGGCCCATACTTAGAAGAAAAATCCATAGCTTCCTCACTTACTGTTCGTGATCCCCAAAATTGCAACTTGCCTATTTTAAATTCTTTAATTGTCAATTAAAGACTTATTTTTATTATTTTTATTTTCATCGATTCTAAAGTGTTTTTTAATCTTATTGAGTGATTTTAAGAATTATTATTAATTTAATATTCTTTTACTTGATTTTGAATTTATTATTTTATTCTTTGCTATTAAATTATATTTATTTTTTAGTAATAAAGTTAGTCCAAATAATTAACGACCTAAATAAATCAATAGTATTTTCCTTCCATTGGAAGTAAGAGATCTTGAGTTTGAATCACATGGTATGTGGGTGGGATGAGATAAGAGATGGAAAGAGTTACCTCCCGTTGTGTAATCAATTATCGAAAAAAAAAGTTAGTCCAAATAAGATTTAAAAATAAAATGGAGAATAACTTTCTTGTTAACAATTTAATTCTCTACATCAAGGGAGAGATTGTAGAAAATTTTACTTTAGATTCAATTATATGTTTAAAAAAATAAGAGCATTACTTTAAAAAATAAGCATAAATTTTTTTATTATTTTTATGTTAGTATGTAATTGATTTTTAAAAAATAATAATTAATTATT